GCCCCGGCCGCCGGGGGGAGAGCGGAGCCCCCACCGGGGCTCCGGCCGCCCCCCCGGCTCCGGCCGGCCCCCCCACCCCGCGGCAAAAAAGCCAGAGCCGGCCCTGCTTGCTCCTCATTTATTCCTAGCTGAGACTTAGACAGCAAGCCCTTTGAGGCAAGGAGAGTCTCTTTGTTCTGGGATTGTACAGCGCCTAGCACCCTGTGGGGGTCTTGACCCATTACTAAGGCTCCTAGGTGTTATTGCAATACATCATAGTAATCAGTAGCAGGATGCTGGAGCCTGGATCTCTAAGGCCAGCGGGTCTGGCTCTCTGCTGCTTTGCCCTCGTATCAACATTTAAGGCAGACTGGGCACAAAGGGCAGGACAGGGAGAATGAGGCTCTGTGACTCTGGCTGACTTACAATAAGATCCAGGTAAGCGGCTGGCCGATGTGGCTGGATCGGCTGTTTCATTCCTCTTCGCTGGTCCCTTCTGCAGGTGGAACAGCTGCAAACAGAACAAACAGGGTGCCAACAACCGCCCTGTCAACCAGACCCCCTCTCCGGAAGGAGAGAAGCTTCACAGCGACAGCGGGATCTCCGTGGACAGCCAGAGCCTTCACGATCAACAGCCACCAACACAGACCGCACAGGTGCAGGGTAAGGTTTATCCACCAAGCTGCGCTAGGGTGGGCCCGGGGCTGGGAGGAGTCTGGGGAGCACTGGTGGAGCTGGGAGGATCAGACATGGTATGGCAGGGAAGGGGAGCTGCGGGTCAGGATCGGGGTAGGAGTGGCTGGACAGGGGTTGCAGACTGGGACAGAGGGGCAGTGGGGAGCCCAGGACTGAAACAGTGGGGTGATGCTGCAAGTCCAGACTGGGGAAATGATACACAGCAGGGTATAGGTCATAGGCATCCCCCGGTTTGCCTTGGGAAATCTCCCAGTGTGTACGAAGCACCAAGCTGCCCGCCCCTGATCCTGGTGCTCTCCTGGGCTTCCTGACCCCTTCTGGTTCAGTTTCACCTCCCAAAGGCCGTAGTGACCCTGCTCTGTTCCTCCCCTTCCCTGCACAGCTCTGAAAGGAGACGGGAACCTCTACACCAGCCTGCCGCCTAACAAGCAAGAGGAGGTGGAGAAGCTGCTGAACAGTTCCCCGGAGGACACCTGGCGTCACCTGGCGGGGGAGCTGGGCTACAAGGAGGATCACATAGACTCCTTCACGCAGGAGGAGTGCCCTGTCCGGGCCCTGCTCTCCGACTGGTCCAGCAAGGACAGCGCCACCATGGACGCCCTTTATGCCGCCCTGCGCCGAATCCAGCGGGGAGACATTGTGGAGAGCTTGTACAGCGAGTCGACCGCCACGTCGCCGGTGTGAAGGGTGGGGCGGGAGAGGCACTCCCCAGCCAGCCCCTCTGCGACCCCACGGAGATACCAGCCGGCGAGAAGATGTGAAGGAAATGGGGTTCCCGCCCGGGCCCCCTGCTATTTACGAACAATCCCGTATGCACTGACCTCTTATTTTCAGTATTGTCCCCTTTTTTCTATCCCCCTTTCCCCTGGCGGACTGGCCAATGCTAAAGCAGAAGGGATATAGCCAAGGCCACCAGGGGCTGTGGCCTCCCTCAGTCTTGCTGGGACCTAGGAGCGCTTGACGGCTTCGGCGCATCCGGTGTGAGCAAAACAATCTCTTGTGCACGCCCCGCCTCCCCGAACCTCAACAACACGTCTCCGGTAGCTGCAACAATGACCGCGTTTGCTCTCGCTCAGGTCTCTCCTCTTTCTTTCTCTGTCTGCTTCGTTCCCCCTCTTCCACTCCCCCTCTGAGGCTCTTCCTCTGCCCCCCACAATATCCACCCCCTTCTGTTTGCCCCAGATCACCAGTTGCTCTCCCTTTGAATTGCATCTCCCAAGCCAGGAAGGACGGACCCGGCTGAATTCAGAGAGAACTGGGAGGATTTCAGGGCTAACGTTTGAGTGAAGATGTTATTAACAGGGAATTGGGATGGAGGGTGGGGAGCAGAGGGATATAATTAGAAAGAGCTACCCAAGGATGCAGCATGGGGAAAAAAGGGCTCTGTCTATAGAAACACACATTTGTGCCTCTGCACTGTCCTTGGGAGTGGTGAGGGGGGAGAGGACTGTTTCTAGCAGGCAAAATCTACACTGTGAATCATGAAACATACAGCGTGCGTGTTGGCAAGAGATCCACATGCCTCCATGACACGCACATTCCTCAGGCTTGGAAGCGTTTGCCTTGCTCATTAGCAGCCAGGCTGCCTGACACGTTAAGAAACAATCTAGTTACCTAAGGAATAACGTCGTTTGCCCATCTCGGGTGCTCAGCGGTCAATCGCCAGCACCTTCCCAGGCGCTGATCGCTCCTGGGCAGACATCACCCTTGTTACAGCCCCCAAATTCCAGTGGAGAATAGCAACCCGCTAACGGTGCCTGGGAAAGCAGAAAACAATTGCCATCCGTCACGCTGCAGGTCAACCAACAATCGCCGTGCGGCCCTGGAGAGCTGGAGCAGCTGCTGTCATCCCAGACCTCTCACATATTGTACTGGTGAGACACTAGGAGACAGGCTCTGTGCCCTTCCTCAGATCAGTGATCCACCCACTGTGGGCTACAACGTAATCACGCTGCTGCTTTAGCGGCCGACGAGCAAGGGGAAAGTGGGGATGGGCGACATTAGTGATGGAGTCGATTCTATTCTATATGGGTTCCTAGACCATGATCATTACCATAGTATCTGAGCTGGTACGGATGAGGCTCGAAAGGGTCGGAGGGTGATTTGGAAAAGCGCCCAGAAGCTCAGCTGTCTTCGCTGTATTATCTGAACCTCTCGGTCTCTGCAAAGCCGGAAACATCCCAAGAACAGGCTCCTTTGGGTATGTTGAGGCTTCCAAGGAAGACCCAGGAGGTAGAGAGGCAGCTGCAGCAACCTTTCTAAAGGAACAGGGGGTCAGGGAGTGTGTTCGATGGAGTTTTTCCCAGGCTCGGAAATGGGTTTGGGTGAAAGGGGGTGTTGGGGGAGGGGGTGGATCTTGCTCCTTCCAAACCAGCTGGGCCCAATCCTCAGTTAGAAGTTCCTTCTTTGAAGAAGACACTAGAAAAGCACCAAATCATAGGACTCAGCTGTTTCCCACCCATTGGAGGAAGCTACCAGTTCCTGGCGCTCCAGATATGTATTCCTAGGAGAGGGGAGTTCTAATGGAGCCCAGGGTCGCTGGAAGCCAAGTGGTATGAGTGGCTTAGCCCTGTCCGTAGGGCTCCCTTTCATATAAAGCTCCTGATGGGAAGGGTGACTTGAAAATGCCTTTCCTTCACCACAAGGGCTCCCACACCTGTCACAGCCATCAGGAAATCAAGGGAACTATGCAAAGTGCTCTAGCCCTTAAGTGGCTCAGGAGACCTCTCCCAGAACTGCGGCACATCCCTGCTTTGCAAGCTTTCTCCTCCTTGCCCGAGTGGAAGTTCTACCTCCTGGACCCATCGGATTCCTAGTATGGCTGGTATGTGACGGGAAATGACAGCACAGGAGCAATAATAATATACAGGACAGTACTGGTGATCATACCTCACTCCAGATTTGGGTGGATGACTCCTGGACTGCAGCATTCCAGCATCTGCAGACCAAGCCACAGTAAAGTTTCTCGGGGGGTGCCCAGCAGCTACAAATGAGGTGTCCCTGCAAGAGGCCCCAAGGTGGAAGAACCGTCTGTGGAGCCAGGAGGCAGGAAAATACAGAATGTGAATGTGATTGTAGAACTTGCATCTGTTGTAATCAGCCCAACCAGAGAGGAACGGTTACTTACACTTCAGAGCACACCTGGGAGCATTAGAAGCTGGAGACAGGAGGTCATTCTTGGGTTGGCTCCTTTTGAGGGACCAATAACTGGTAGCAAAAGTTCTGATGACTTCGAAGATGGTTTCACAGCACTTTGATCTTCGGAGAGGGCCAGATTCTCTTTGCTACCAATGAATAGCTCCTTGCTTCCCCAGGAACCCCCTGATGATGAAGACTCATTGAATAAGGGGCTATTCAAACCCAGCTGGCCAGGGAATGATTTTCCCATCCCGTGAACGTTTTCAAGTTATTGAAACATTTTCTCATCCCAAATTGAGAGGAAACGTCTAAATGGCAATGTTTTTCGCACATCAAAAAATCTGGCAAAAGAAATTCAGATCAGGTCAAAATATTTTGTTTCAATAATTTTGAAGCATCTTGTTTTAATTTTGACCATTTTAAGGGTTTTTTTGGGGGGGGGTTACTAGAATTAGCTTAAATTTTTAAGCGAAAAGCCACTTTGAACAGGAAAACTATGATTTTTCATGTAGAAAATGTCAAAATAAAACATTGATGATTTTGGAACCCCCCCCGCCCCAAATGTTGGGTAGAAAACTTTTGTCGAAACTGACCCTTTTCTGCAAAAAAAAAGTTTCAATTTCAAAGAATCAGCATTTTCCAATGGACAAAAATGTTTCTTTGGAAAATTCCTGACCAGCTCTTCTATCCAATGCAAGTAAGAATCCAGCCCCAAATGTCTCCAGTTCTAGAATATTACCCTGCTTCTGCCCTCACAACATAGGATCAAATCTCATTTGATTGGTGGCTAGTGAAGAACTGTAGCAGAACTGGGGTGGGGGGAGCCCCTCACCCTTCCTCCTTTTAGACCTCTGGTCTGGCATCTTCCTCCAGACCTCAAGCCAGCAAGTCCATGTCGTATATCCGACCTGAGCTGCTAATTCATTAACAGCCTGACTCTAGCCTCCTTGCTCAGACAGCATTGCCTTGGAAAGCAGTGGGCGCACTGTCGGAGGAAGGAGTTCATGTTCAGGGCCTGCAGTAGCCGCGTTTTGGTGATGTTCATAATTTCACAGACGAAATGAAGTCTATGGGCCACATTCATCTCTGCTCCAAAGAGGCCGAACTTGTCCCTGAAGAGGGAAATCTGAGAGACTGAGCTACATAAGTGAAGGACATGCTGTTTGCCTCCCAGCTCCACCAGAAATCTTAGTATTAAAGGAGGAAGAAAGGGGGAAAAAAACCTAAATGAGACAACTAAGAATTGTAAATAATATTGTCTTGTTTTACTCACTGCTAAATGTTTCTAAGTGTGAAGTGGATTACAGTGCTAAAGAGCAGGAGACCTTGGCTTTCTCATCAAGACTTCTGTTCAACGCTGCCTTAGCATGGGGTCTAGCTGTTACCCGTTCTTCCACAAAGCTATGATAAGTGTTATAACTGGTGCCATTCAGCTCCCATGAACTGACTGGCCTCCCAGCGTCTTCCTGATGGACGATGTGGTGGCAAAGATCCGTTTGCTCACGGCTCTGCGTTGCAGGTTGAATTTTATGTTACCAGTCTTGTATTTTTTATAATAACCTTGATTCTGGCCTTACAGAGTAAAGAGACGACAGAAGGATATTGACATAACGCACACTTTTTTTTTTATGATGATGGCAGTGTTGAAAGGCCATGCGAAACTGACGAAAGCAAAGAAATTAGATCCAGGATGGAACTTCAGGCCTTTTTAAAGGGACAGGTTGAAATTTTCAAACATACCCATGGTTATTAGATGGGACCCAAATCCCATTGAAAGTCAATAGAAGTTGAGCACTTAACTCCTGTAAGTGCTTTGGAAAATTTCACCCATTGTGCTTTAAGAGATGGGGGTGGGCGGAGGTTGCTAAGAATTGGGCTTCTAGAACGGGATTTACAAAAACGCCCGGCTACCTTCATACCTTTGATTGATTTAGGAGTACAAGTCCTATCAGCTTTCAGTGGGGCTTGAGCTTCTAGGTCACTTAAGATGCTTTGGAAAACCCCACACCCATGATGACCATATGTAGGCATGTGATTAAATGGCCTGATTTAGGGTTGAGCACTCAGCAACTGAGGTCAGTGGGGAAATGAGCACCTCTGAAAATCAGGCCACTTAACCAGGTGCCAAACTATGGACTGAGGAGCGGATCATTTAGGCCCCCGTTTCTGAAAAATGTTGCCTGTTTAGATGTATGTTTTTTTTAAGTTTTAGAAAACTTAATGTGAGTGGAAATGTCCCAAATATTTTAAGCAAAAAAATGACAATGGAAAAAGGAGGGATTGGATCAAAACCTTCCTGCTTCGGTGCTGAAAATGTAAACACAATGGCCAAGGTTTTCAAAAGTGACTAGTGACTTCAGGTACCCAACTGAGGACACCTTAAAAGGGGCTGATTTTCAGAGGGTGGGTGCTCAGCCCTTTCTGAAAATCAGGCCCCTTTAAGGTGTCCCCAGATAACAAGCCATTTGCAAAACTCTTGGCCAGCAGCATTGAGCTAATGCATGAGAAGCAAAAACTGAAACTTACCAGTCTAGGTCAAACTGGGAGAAATATGAACAAGCGATGAAAGATTAGAAACAATAAAAAAAGCACATTTGAGTCAGACAGATTTTATCTTTAACAATCTATATGGTGTTACTAGTAATGCAGGCAAGGGATTTAAAAAAAAATGTTAATAGTGACCTTATTACTCATTTTTTGTATGCAGGTACTGAAGCATCATATAAGAGATCAGGTATTCTTCACAGAACCCAGTGGTGCTTAGATATTGTACATGAAGCAACAGCTTTAATTTTTGAGTTGCCTTATATGTGTGGAAGGTGATCATAGTCGTAACATACCTGTGTTGTGTTTCAGACAAAAATGCCTTGCAGAGAACTCTGAAAAGCAAATGCAGATTCATGTCTACGTTGTAGAGCTGGTTGAAATTTTT